AAAACAACAAAGGTCTGTAAGAGCATTTAAGCATTAATACAGCAAGTAAAACCCAAAGTTTTTCGGTCGTCTAAACAACGTAATATACATTTTTTGAGAGTCATATGTAGCGTGAAAAAGAGTACTAATCAGTGTTTGACTCCGCTAAGGCAGGATTTAGGAAAGAGCTCAGCAAGAAATCTGTGTGTACATCCGGTAAACTTCAATTACAGGAAAGTACAATGAGATGTAAAGTTGTTCTGAAGTAACATGTCCCACTTCTCAATTATCCTAGCTGGATTCATGGCCATAACAAAGTCTCCTTTATGGAAACCCAAGGACCAAGTAGGAGATCCAAATCTGAAATTTTATTAGGGATTTCATACACTAAACTGAGATCTCAGAATAGTGTCAATCTTTGGTTACTGGTTGGGACACTTGCAAAACCTTTTAGAAACCTTTTCCTGGCTGCAGGAGCACAATGAAACTGTCTGCTGGAGGGTCAGACTGAGCGCGTGTTAAGAGAGTTAGAAGAGAAGGCCTCAGTTTCAGCCAACGCTCAGTAAAGCAGGACCAGTAATCTCATCATGGAAGAACACGCGACTGACCATCACACACTGCCTTTAAACCTTCTTCAACTTGTATCTGTACATGTTCATGACATATTACTCAGAAAGAGCTCTTGTGCCATGAGTTAGTAATTCTACTCTGAGAGGTAGAAGAAACAAAACATTGGCAGAAAAACCGGGAAGCAGAACTGTCCTTCCTGCAAGGTGCACAGTAAAGCTCCTTGGTGTGTTACAGTAACAGGGCTGGTGGGAGTGCGTACTTTAAACAGCTTGAGCCTTTACAAAGAACTCTTATTCGGAAAGGTCATGGGAGGGAAATCTGTGTTTTGTTTGTACTGGATCCAAACAGATACACAGAGCGATAACCTCATCATTATCACCAAATTGTGATGCGTCCCATCATAAACCTCGTCGAAATTTTTTGTGGAGACCCTCAGCAAATGCTGATACACTTATCTGATGAACATCAATAAAACTATGAAATAAATCAGACCCAGGACTTAAACTCCTACACAAAGCCCAGATGACAGCAACATCTCCTTGTTTATGTAATGCATTGCTGATTCTGCAGAAGATAGAAGCGGTATTTAGACCCCTCATTTAGGCACACTACTATCGTGGACGAGAAGCAAGGCTGAAATCTGCCAGTGGGTTTGAACAAATTCGAAAAGCTCCTTGCTTACAGGATGAGTAATTCTGATGAGAATAGAAGTCTAGAGAAAGTTGAAACAGTGACACTTTCCCAGAAATATGCTGTAATTCCCACATTTGTTGTCTTCATCAGTTCCTGCAGTATTTCAAAATCAGCAGGTACTAAAAATGAGATGTCGTTGCCTTAACTGGTGCAGAGAAATGACAGGAATGCAGGTGGCAGTACATCCATTCAGCATTCACTCAGGTTTTCCTCCACTGAAAGCTTCTCTTATTGAAGCATCAGTCCTGAAGATCCTGTGATAGAAGACGTTTCTACCATCTAGAAAATTTTTCAGGGGGGAAGTTGTGATGTTATCTTCATATGGTTACCTGTTGGCTGCTCTCACTTTGGGAACCTAAGCACCTATGACAAAAATCTAGGGAAAGTAAGTTACCTCAGGCTCCATTTCAGACTGATGCAGATGCTGAGGAACCATAATAGTGATTGGTCCCACACAAGCCTTCCTAACTTCGGTAAACTGCGTGAGGGTGGTTAGGGTACATGCTACTGCTTCTGCCTTAACTACTCCTAATTCATACACCAGACACTACTTAATTTTTGTGAGCAGGATGCAGTGCTTCGATTATACCCAACACTGATCACAGATTGATCAGAGACCCAACACTCATTCACAGAAACAGGCACATATATGTATGGGCAACAGTCTAGATACATAAACCCCATATGAGCTCACTGTACATATATACACGTAGTAAAATCACCCTCACATGGAAGAATAAATACATTCTAAGCACTCCAGAATGCAAACATTATAAACACATGTTAAAATTTGCTGAGTATTGCAATATGGACAAATAAATTCTCCTATCCGTATGATATTAGGTTATTTTTGAAATTACTAATACATTTAGAAACATGCATTTCATTAATCTCCTAAAGATACTTTTCAACCTACAGGTATCTTTAAGGCTTACAGAGTTTTTCCTCTTCCATAAGCTCAAAGATACAATGGTGTTAAGCTCACCATAAGCTCAGCTTACAATGGTGTTCTACCTAAGATGTAATCACATGAATTAACAAAATCAATACATCTGTTTTCCTCACAAAATACTTCAAGCTGTCAAAGAGGTTAATCTACACCTTTTCTACAATGTATGGAAATGCTGTCAAAGAGACTCCTTATTTATTTGTCATAGTAATTACTGGTCTCTGCCTGAAAAAGTACCCCCCACTGCCATTTAAACAAGCAGTTAACTCTGTAAGGACTATCAGAAAACATAAATATTCCAACTCCTGTGAATATAATCCATCAATTTGTCAAGTTAAATCATGTATTAATAATGGAGCCATTCTTCCTGTATATTTCATGAAAATAACCCACTTAATATTTCATATTTAAATAGGGGAGTATTTCACATTTGAATAGGGGAGGGACAGTTGTGAGGCAAAATAACTTGAACTAGTGTGCATGGAAGGAGATTCTGCCCTCTCTAAAAGTAACACTCCAGTAATCTCATTTACTTTCAATTTTATTTCCTTCTCTCATTTTTCTACCCTAACCTGCTTGGAGAACCTTTCAGAAGCTAAGACTCCCCCTATATTTACTGCAAGGATACTGAATCTCCCTGTTTGCCAGCTTCTATTCAAAATATTTATACAAAGGATACTTTTCCATATTTGATATAGATTTTTCCATTATACTGACTGCTAGTGTGTCTTCCAGTAGTGCCTTATTTCATATGAATAACACCTATTGTACTACAACTTGAGAAGTTAATCATTTAAGGTGTGAGAGGTGGGATGACTTCAACCACAACCTAAAAAATCCCATTACCTGAACAAGACAAGACAGCTACAAGAAACAAGGAGGTGATTTTTTCCGAACACTTTTAAATAGCTCTGACTTAGAACAATACAATCCTCCCTCCACACTTGTATGTTGCCACAACTGAGATCAATGAGTAACAACAAATCCTTTGCTGTTCCTTAGGATCTCAGGCATTTAAATACCAGCTGAGTAATAAAGAGGTGAAAAAATTACAACAGGCCTCCTTAGCAGGTGGGGGGGGGAAAAAAAACCCAGATTCCTCTGACTACTGATCTTGCCTAATACAGTAAGTTCCTAAAAATAAAACTATTTCTTATTTCCCAGCTTTCCATTTTCCTTTGTTCACTGAGCTTAGTTTGCACAATGAAGCCAGAAATACCAGCTTCCCTTTCTCCATCTTCAGCATTAGCAAAATGCCAGTGGGTTTGGATTTCTTATATTAAAGGATAAAGATTAGGGGGGTTGTAATTTTTGTTTATATTGTTCCGGTGCAGTTTTCCAAACATCATGAAAATATTACATAACACTAATAAGTTTTGAAAACATTTCTTTCCTTCTAATACCACAGTCTAAACATTGGATCTACCCTAATAAATCATGCTCCTCTTGATAATTCAGGATAGAGAAGTCCATGAATCTCAGAGGAGAGAAATAAATTTTGATCACAGCAGAGTGACAACTCTGACTGACGCAGATACAGGCGACCACTGTATTTGCTTACAGTGGGTTTGATGCTAATTGAGGAGGAATACATCTTCACAACTTTACAGGCTGCAAAGTTACCCCTGGATCAGATGATTATGCAACCACTTCACTTCACTAGACTTCAAACTACTCCTGAGTCTCTCTGCACAGCTGAAAATTAGTATATGAAACAGCAAAATGGGTTAAGTAACCATAATGAGCAAGCAGTATGTCAGACTGATTGACTGCCGATGCAAACAAATAAAAAACCAGCTACACAGACCACGCTACCAGATCGAGGCCAGATTCTTCCCTAGTACCCGTCTGTTCTCCCCTGAAGAACAAAACTGACACAAATTCCTGAAGTACTTTCCACGAGTGGACTCAGCTAAAGTGAGTTTTGTTATAATGCACATTGCATTGGAGGGAAACTTCAGTATTTGTTGATGTCACTTTCCAAAAATCAAACAGCTTTTAATGATTTTGAGTACCAAAGATGTCATGCTATCCCCTTCTTAAAACAGATTAATATATTGAAAAAACCAGGATGTGCTTTTGATCTCAAAGGCAAAAAGCCATAAATTTATATTTATTTGTTGTTATAAAAATATAAAGCGGTGTTCACAGTAGTCCTGCATCTGTCATCAGGTAACAAAAGAGAGATGTGTGGAATTACACAAGTTTGTGGCATCAGACAAACCTTACTGAAGTCAACTTAAGCTGGAAGCAAACTGTACTTGTAAAAATAACTAAAGTTCAGTTTTAGATAGCTAAATATGCATCTAATAATTTTACTTTAGACACATTTTTTCCCCTGTGATACATTAGAACTGAGTGGACATTAACATGTTTCAGCAGCTTAATTATATTGATCAATTAATAAATCAGAAGGAAACTATTATCAATAGCTTTTTATTACCAAATAATTCTAATATTTCAACTGATAGTTTTTAATGTTTGGATGTGTAAAGAAATACCATGATAAATGTCTAGAGAAAATTTATTTTATCAATTAAAAGAGGGACTTAAAACGCCCTTAAAATGGGTTCAATTTTGTATCTGATTTTTAGTTTAAGATATTTTTTGAGATAGGTAATAAATTCATGTAATGAATACCAAAAATAATTCTTGTTTTCTGTATTCTGAATTTATCAAGCAGGATAATAAAGAAAGGCCATATACTCTTTGTGCACTTGAAAGCAAGAAATAACATGGCTTTTTAATATAACATTTCTGTAATTGTCCAAGCAAAGACATTCAGTGTGGAAAGGTATAAATACTGTACCTTGATTTCTTCTATTTCATCTGGCACTATCTTGTATGCAGATATAGTCCCACCCAACCTGAAATCAGAAGAAGAAAAAAATTCTCTGAAATCAGAAAAAGGTATTCTCAAAAACAGTAACACAAAACACAGCATGTTAATGGTGTCATGACTTGCTCCAAAACACAAATATCCCTCTTACCAATTTAGAGGTAAAATCCATCAAGCCTCAAAACAAAAGCAAAAAACTCATCCCTTTTCCTTTCTTTATCCAAAGAAAAATCCTCATGTGATTAACTCAGAATTAGAAACAAGACATCCTTCACTAGCCTGAAAGATAAGAATTAGGTCAACCAAGGAGAACTACCATCACCAGGATATTATTCTTTACATTCACAGCCATCAGTCATCATATTCTACAATTTCTTGTTTGTTGTCTAAGTCGTATGGATGAGTTTAAATATAAGCTTGATATGTTTTGTGCTCAATATTTCACTAGAGTGCTAGACAGTCTTAAAAATGCAACCAAATATAAATCTAGACATTGAAATTTTTTAATTAGACGTGCATGTACACACCTCACAAACCACCCAGACTTTATGGTTTCCATGTTTGAAAAGTCTCTAAAGCTGGTGACTGTTAATAAAAAGTGGATGATGTGTAATAGTTGGCACTGGTGTAGAAAAATATGTGGAGTTGTGTTTCACACTGAACTTACCAAACTTACTTGTCTACAACCTGCAAAAGTTTACGGTGAAGAATTGTTCACATACTGAAGATGCATGAATAACATGTACTATAAATGGTGGAAAATATTACATTTTCCCTAGAGACACGCAGGCATGGCTTCTTTTATTTCATGAAGCAGTATCATTGATAGTGACAATTCAGACCTAAAAATATAACCACACTAATGACCTCCCTGCTGGCTCTGCACAGCAACACTAGTCATTTTATGGGTCCTACAGAAATAGAAAACACATTGGAAACTATTTATTGCAAAGCAGCAGACCGCTATCAAATGGGTATTTGCATTATTTCCCTATTACTGGATGTTTTCCTTTCAACAGTCAGCATTTCTCCACAGATACATTTCCTATATTCAGTCTTGCAATTATTACACATACTGTTTACTCAGCCTAAAAAGGGGAGAGTAAGACAGAAAATATGTTAAGATTTCCCTGTAAATCCTGCCTTTCCACATCGCTACATGTACATCACTCTCAGAAACAAACGGTATGGAGGTCTCTGTAGGAAAAGTCAAGTCTGAAGCCCACCCCTGCTCCAAGTAATACCAACTGTGATGCCCAGGGGAGAGGCAGGGTGCAGGCATTACAGCATTCAAATTCATCATGAACAATTAACATGTAGCAATTGCTCTCTCCTCTGAAATTTCCATTGCTGCTAACCAATGGAGTTGAAAGCTGGAGAGAACTGAAACATTTTTTTGCCAGTACAAGTAGAGACACAAGCTTTCATTCTTCACTACATCTTAAATCGTTTTTTACATCATGATGAAGGTTTGCTTCAGCATACCGTGGCACGGATCGGCTCAGATCAGTGCTTCTTACCGTTGCGCATGACCAGTTCTATTGCTACTGGATTGAGGTCGGTAAGAAAAGACTTTTGGTTCTTTCAGATCTATTCCTGTCTGCACTCTGGAGTACCCAAAAAATAACTTCATTGACATTCTATCCTCTAGCAAAGGGGGAGGACAGAGCCTGTGAGTAGTGAACAATAATGCATAGATGAAATTTAAAAACATTCTTCCTTTGTTTCTGGCAAAATGTCCTGATTAGTTTCAATTTTATGCACAAAATACTATGCCATGCAATTCACTTGTCAAATGAACTTCAGTGGCAGAACCAGTTGTGAAACATGCTGCATACTCTTCACTGAAAGTCATAAATCCCAGTTCATTCCAACCTCATGGTAAACACTCTGAAGTGAAATCTGAAAGCGCTTAGATTGGTGTTACCAAATCGCTATTACAAATCTCCCGCACTCAGATAAGCCTATAGTGTAAGAGGCTACACAATATCACACACACACAAGCTACTGAGGAAAAACAAAATCCAGAAATGTTGTGATGAAAGAACACCAAAATCAAGGCAAACTGAAAATTCAATGCATTAATCGGTATGTCTGATTTCAGGAAAACCTTGTATTTCGTGTATTTCGCTGAATTCCATTTAAGCGTCACTATCAACTGTGACCTGTCTGGAAGTTTGGGATTTTGCAAATCCTTGACTTGATCACTGACACCGGGAAGAACAGAGACCAGACAACTGCACACAGGAGATTTCAGCTACAGGATGATACACAGCCTGTGACAGAGCACTTTCTCATGGCATACTTCTTTCATTTTCTTGGGAGCAACCTCTCTCTACAGGTTGTTTTGCTAAAATGCTTTAGACCAGCTTTTTTGGTCTAATTGTTTTGAGAAGCAATTACACTGCAATCAGAGAAGCAAAGGAACAACTGGCATGGGTACACATGAACTAGTGTGGGCTCTGTACATAACAAAGAACATGTTAGAAGGGCCAGAATTCAGTTCACCAGGCACCAAATTTTTGTGCAGATTCACTCTTCATCTTTCACATATTTTAGTTTTATTATAGATTTTATTACCTTTTTCTCCATTTGAACAACAGAACATCCAACATCCTACAATAAAAATGGCATTTTCTCTCAGAATAAATACAAAACCAGCCAAGAGCAAAGCTAGATATACAACCACCTCCTTCCAGTAAGCTGAAAAGACGGTGACAGACTTCATCTAGGGAGACCTAATGCACAGTCTTTCTCTCCCAAACTGCACTATTTTCAAAATATAGCAAGCCATGCTATTTAACAGTGAAATTATTTTAAATACTAGTTAGCTTTAATTTTTCACATGTGTATATGTAACAATTAATTCTAATCTCCAAAAGGTCCCACAATTTATATTCAAGTTTCAATAGGCATCAATCTCACCAGGTCTGTATCATCCCCTGCATGTACTACAGACACCCCAGCTCTCTAATCCGTTTGCAAAAGTGAAATTATTCCTAGATGTAGAAATTAGAGGTGACACAATAAAAACGAAGAACGACACAATTTTGGGCTAAACTGGTGAAGGTCTCTGAGGAGAGAATCAGAAAAGATAGGACAGACATTCCATAAAAGTAATTAGGAAATAATAATCCTCATATAACTACTTGCACAGGAGTTTGTGAAACAATAAAAACTTTGTGTCTTTTTTAGGGAAATCTCAGGTTGACATATGATGCGGAGACTGGGTTCGCGGGAAGTTCACAAAAAGGATTCAGGAGAACATTGAAAGAGATGTTTCCATAGCAACCTAAGAAATTAGCAAAATACAGGAAATAAACTGAAGTGAGGCCAATACAGTTGTATTGGAACAGATGGAAGCTTTACTATTTCACAAATTAAAGCAGAATATCACTGAAGAGGGAAAATTTGAACTTCATCCAAAGTAAAGTTAAAAACCAGGAAGAACTGTGCCCAAATGGAGGCAAAAAACAATGAACCACAGCACAAATGGGAAGAGAACTCGAGAAGACAAAACTTAAATTGCAACTCTGTTAATGATGAAGTATCTATTATTTTAATAAGTTATCCTTTTATGACCTGTTTGCTGTAGATTTCAATACTATAAAACAGAAACTGAATTTCTCTTTTTTTTAAACATTTAGTCTAGATAAAAGGTTAAAATCGTCACAGTATTGTTTTCCATATAGTTGCAAGTTGGACTTCTACCTGCTTTTCCCCTGTATGTATATATGTGCCAATGGACTCACTGTATTATTATTGCATAGCTACATCATGTGCAAGACACTTATGCACTTGGACTCAATCAACACCAGTCAGCTTTTATAATGTGAGTTCTGACCAAAGACACGAATATGGTCTTTCTGTAGAGTTCCATATTCACTGACTGCCATAAGAAGTTAAGCTATTGATTCATCTGTTAACTTAATAAATGAGTCACACTGAATGCAATGAAGTCAATTTTCTAAAAATAGCTTGTAGCCAGCTTGGCTGCTGTCATCCGCTGAAGTTCTCCGATGCCACTTTAATTAACATTAAGCTTTCTTCAGATAGATTGCTATGTCTAAATGATATCAAGTTGTCACTAAACCTCCCAGTGAAACTGTTTATCTTTAAATGAAAGCAAAACTCAAAAACCTCTTCTATTTTTTTTTCCAGATCCATCTCATACATATATTTGTTACCTACCATCAGAATATTCTACCTTCCAGCTGATGCATAAACCAAGCAGAACATTCAAGACACACGAGGCTTCTGAGCAGATCAAAGGGCTTGGAGCCAGACTGGCTATTTCTAATTCCAAGGTCATGTTCGTTTTATCCCTGGCTCCTGAATGAATACACGTTACGTTACTACTCCTGCCGGAGCAAACTGACCAAGCCAGCATTTGTAGCCTACCCCACTGGGCTAGCTTAATGCTGACCCACGAGACATCAGCAAACCATCCTGCCTTGGATCCTCACACACACCTAAAACTTCACAGAGTATTCCAGGGAAAGAAGTAGCACAATTGCACTTCAAAGTAACTTGGTTCTCCGCTACCTGTAAGAGCGCACATGAAGAGCAGATGCAAAGCTGCTTTAATTGATGCTACTTCCCACTGACCTTTGGGCAGCTGTGGAAGCCGCTGAAGGGAGGTAGTAGGAAGGCAGGCTATTTTGGGCTCACTTCCTACACAACAAACGCTGGCAGCTCGAGCAAGCTGGGCTGCAGCTCCTGTCGCTGGCTGAACGCCAGCAAGGACTTCTGCGACACAGCTTGCAAAGCACCTCGTGGAGGCTGCTGGACTTACTCTAAGGTGTACAACTACATGAAGATATAGCTGTTCTTTTTTAATGGATTCAATAATTAGATCCTTGAAAAATTACACACACAGGCTAACCTCAGGCTAGCTTCAACGTGCTGTACTCCAAAACCTCACAAAAATAAAATGATTGCAGACATGCCTTCTGTCAGTGCATGTCTCATCAACAATAGCTCTGGGATTAAGATGTCAAAATTACAGGATTCTGCTTCACCATGTTAGGGTAAATCTGCAGTCGCAAATACAAGTACAGGCTGGG